GGAAAACCCTCTTCTGCCCCAGTGCTTGCCGTCACAGGGCGGCTGGCAGCACCCACCACAGCAAAAAGGCGCTCCTTCACCCTTCACAGCGGGAATAAGAAATGGGTACTGTGATCCCCCCTGCCTCTTTTGGGGGAAAAAAATTTTTTTTTGTATTGTGGCAAAATTCAAGACCTTTGCCATTTCGACCATTTCGATGTGTGTAATAGAAGTGACATTAATTTCACTCCCCGCGCTGTGCAGCCATAGCCATTCCCAATTTTAAATATTGTCCTTCGTGGAAACTCAAACGCAAGGAGCCCTGGGGCCTAGTGGGTTACGCCTTGGGCTGTGAACCCAAGGTCAGCAGTTCAAAACCACCAGCGCTCCCCAGGAGAAAGGTGAGGCTTTCTACTACTGTAGAAACCCACAGGGCCTTTCTACGGTGCCCTGTAAGGTCGCTAGGCAGTGAGTGTGGCTTTAGTTTGGTCATTCGATACTCAGTCCTCCTTTAGCAGTGATTCCCAGCTCCCCCGCTGGCCCGGGTAAACATCGGTCTCTTTACATTTGCCTGTTGTGGATATTCCAGGCAAGGGGTTAGCCACCGGTATTTGCCTTTGTGTGTTTGACTGCATGCAGCGTCTTGCTTTCAGGGTCCATCTGCGGGGCGCGGCTATCAGACTTCATTTCTCTCTGTGGCGGAGTAAGTCTATTGTATGGGTTTACCACATTTTCCATTTAGCAGCCCAGGGTGCGAGGTTGGCTGTGCCACATTTGCTTATCTGTTTGTGTGCTGTGGACAGAGGGGGTGGTTGCCACCTTGTAGCACTTGTGACGAAGGCCGCAACGGACAGGAGCACCTGTATCTGTCTCTAACAGTATCTGTAACAGGGACACACAAGCGTCTGTCTGCCCGAGCCCCTACTCCCAAGTCTTTCTGCTATAGACCTGGGCGTGGCATCGCCATCGAATGCTAATTCTGTTTAGCTTCTGGGGAACTGCCGCCCCATTTCCCATTCACACCGGCGGTATCCGAGAGTTCTGATGTTTCCACTTCCATAAGAGCCATCTTCCGTTTTTCTGTTACCAGCCAGGCTGTGGGAGTGGTGACGGTGGGGTCTCACCGTGGGTTTGGTTCTGCGTTGCCCTCATGACTAATGGCCGGGCGCGTCTTAGATTTTTCTTCAGAGAAATGCTCAATCAAGTCCTGTGCCCAGGTTTGACAGGGTTTCGTGGCTGGGTCATAGGGCTCTTCATATATCCTGGATAGTAAACCCTTTCCCGAAGCCTGGTTCCCTTCTAGCCGATGTGGCAGACAAGGCTAAGGGGGGGGGGGTCGAGATCAGAGTCTGCTGATTTCTGAGGGGCTGCTCTGGCTGGAGGGCCCCGGGCAGATCCGCTGGGTGCCAGCATCAGGGGAGACCAAATGCCACCCAGTGTCATGAGGAAACATTAACAAGCAGAGCTACCAAGATGGAAGAGGTGTGCCTGGAGGAATGGGGTGCCCCCAGTCCTGGAGCACAGAGTGAGGTGTTGTGGGGGCTCTGGCCAAGTCCTGGCTTGAGGTATTTGTCTCTCTGGGGCAGAGCTCTGGCTCTCTCCTCATCTCCTGCTGGCCGGGGAGTGGCCTGTCTGGGCAGGTCTCTGTGGCGGTGGTAGGTGGAGGGAGTTTGCCCCAGTCTTCACACAATGGCAGCCTCTCTTGACACCGCTAGCCCTGCACATAGCTACCTGCCCAGACAGAGGCCGGGGGAGGAGTAAAGCATGTCGTCATCTCTGGGCCCTTCTCCGAGGTGCGCCCTCCATCTCCTTAGACTTGGGTAGCTTCTGATCATGCTTTTACGGGAGTCTGAGCATCACCTGCAGAGCCCCAGTGGTGCAGCAGTTACACTTTGTCACAAGGTCGGCGGTTCAAACCACCAGCCCCTCCTGGGGAGAAAGATGAGGCTTTCTACTTCCGTAAAGAGTTACGGTTTTGGAAACCTACAGGGGTAGTTCTATCCTATCTGAGGGGGTCGCCAGGGTAGACGTGAGTTGGAAGCGTTACCTGGGACAAAGGCAAGGCTTGTAATTCCCATGCAGAGTTCCAGTCTCAGAAACCCACAGGGGCAGTTCTACCTGTTCGGTCGGGTCACTCTGAGTCGGGTGGACTTGATGGCAGGCAGCACGTGTGGTTTTGTGTAAGCATCACTTACTCAGGGAACCCACCCTCAGCCACCTGCAGATTACACCCGAGATTCCCCAAACTGACCTCTGGAGGTTCACACCAGCCCCCTGCAGCTTAAACTCACCGTTCTCAAAGCTGGCTTCTGGACGTTAGCACCAGCCGGGAGCTTGGTAGATGGGAAGTTACCCTGCCCCACCCCAGACCTGCTGAATCAGAAACTGGAGGGTGGGGTAGGGCTTGGGTTGTTTGCTCTAACAAGTCTTACAGGGGATTTTGATGCACATCAAGTGGGGAACCACTGGGGCAGGTCAGAATCACGCCCCTCCCCCCAAACATTGGTGCCTCTCTCCTGTTGTCAGCTTACTCAGATAGCCAGCCAAGGGCAGAGTACCTAGTCAAAAGAAGCATGGTCTTACTTGTGCTTACTGATCTGTAGTGAATACCATCACGTGTTCTTCACCACATCGTGAAGCTATTCAGATTAGCAAGTGTGCAGGGATTTTAATTTGAAAGAGGCTCCGATTCTGTTGGAAGGGGCTGTGGGTTTGGAGGAGAGAGATGCAGCCAGCCTTAGACGCGGAATCTCGGAGGCAATGAGCCAATGTGAGCTGGTTCACTTCAGAATAGTAAGTGAATGGGGAGCTCATGCTCACCGTGCTTTTGGAGTAGCCCGTCACCACGCACGGCAAGCGTTGGGGTCCGGAGCAAAGCCCAGGGTCTCTCCCCTGCCCTCCAGAGGGGCCGTCCTGTGGCAGCTCATGCCCCTCGGCCTTGGCAATGGGTCACACCATGTCCAAGAGGACCGCAGGGAGCGGTGCTGGGTCGCTGGAGGAAGGACAACAGGAGTGTTGGGGGACCGGAAGGGTGGGGAGCTTTGAGGGGGGCGGGGCGGGGGCACTTTTGGTGGCAGGCTGGCTCTGGGGCTGGGCCCAGGGCTGAGGTTAGGCAGCCAGCGTGCTGCTCCAGGCTGCGTGAGTCCCAGAAGGCTGAGCCTGGCCAGTGCAGAGGGTCCAGGCACCTCCGTCATTTTCATCATGCTAATGATTATAATTGATGCTGACCTTGATTCCCGAGTTGGCACGTGCCTGCTAGGTACTTTCCCCAGGACAACTCTATGAGGTATGGCCCTGCTGTCCCCACTTTATTACCGATGGGCGTTCTGAGGTCGCCCAGCTAGGAGCTAGGTAGTAACCCTATGGGAGAGATGTTTAAGAGCATGCTCTCATCAGAAGAGGGGTCAGTAGGAGATTGCCGTGGAGTGTTTGTGCAGCAAGCACAATGTAGATTGGTTCTCGAGAAGTGCATTAAAAAAAAAAAAAAAACAACAGAAGAAAAATAAATGACATTTCATCAAATGAGTGGATCAGGCTGAGGAGAGCTGATGGAGATGGTCCAGGGCCACCCCTGCACCTGCTGCTATTCTTCCTGTCTCATAGATCGGCCACCTGAGGCTCAAACTCCAAGTTCAAGGCCTGATGGCTAAGAGGAGAAAGCAAACAGATCTCATCTGGCAGGAGGGAGTGGGGTGTGTGTATGTCAAGATCAGAGCCTACCAGCCACCTCACTTGTGGGGTTCCAACCTCGGTGTCCCTAAGATACTTCTCAGGAGCCTAAGGACTCCCCCAACCCAGGGCAGGAGCTCCTTCATTTCATAGTTGGGGAGCTGAGGCCGGAGAGGGGCAGGGAGGGGTGCACCCATGGCCACACACAGTGTCCCTGCTGGAGCCAGAACCCAGAGCTGTCTCTGCACCCCGCAGGGAAGAATGTCACGTGCGCCCCCCACCCCACTGCACCTTCACCAGCTGGGTAGCTGCAGCCCTCCGGGTGGCCCAGAGCAATGCTGGGGGCAGAGATGGGTGTGCCCTGGGGAGAGAGCTGCCAAGGAGGGTGGGGCAGCTTCCAAGAGGAAGAACACAAGAAGCCCAAACCCCAGACGGAAACCAAATGCATTTTCTCAGTCTTGGGAGGATATTTGGAACAATGGAGGTGGGATGGGAAGTTGGACTATAAAAAGAGCCTCTTGATATCCTTACAAAAAAATCTCTGTAAGTGTGACTTTTGTTTCTCTGAAGGATGTTTGTGTAACTTCTGGAGGGCAGAGTTTTCCTTGGTCCCAGAGTTTTTCCTGAGAGTTGTCAGGGACTTTTTAAAAATAGACCCAGTCGGGCTTTGGAGCTGGGAAGAAATTGGTTGAGTTGAGTTTCTCCCTTTCCACTGTTGGGGAAGCTGAGGCTGAAGTATGGGAAGGGGTCTCCCTGAGGTAGCAGCGGGGCACCGAGGGGCACAGCCTGGGTCACTGGGGGCCTTGCGGGGCTGTTCTTCCCCACCTGCCACCTTTGTCTGCCCAGGTCACTGACTGCTGTGGAAGGGAGCTGGGAGCTGGGCAGGGGCTGTGGGGGCCCCAGTGGCAGAGCCTCTGAGCTGCTGGGCTTGGTGGGTGGTGGGTGGTGGGGATGAGGGGTGGAGAAGGCTGAGCTAGTGTGCTTGGCCATGCGGGACCCAGCTGTGCACCGTCTGCCTAGCTGCCAGGAGCTGTGAGTCATCCCCAGTGGGTGCAGAGGGGCTGTGATTCATCCCGAATGGATGACAAGGCCTGAGCCCTGCTCAGAGGTGCCCAGCAGACTCTGGAACTGTGCCCCTGGCCAGACCTCTGGCACCTATCTTTCCAAGGTTTGCTGTCCGGCCGGCTCAGAAAGGCAACTCAAGCTCACTGATTTTTCTACCAACACATGGTGGCACGACATGACCAGGGCCTCCCCAGCCCCCAGCGTCCACTGATGTAAATAGTCTGGGATGTGTGTAGAGTCATCCTCTCCAGCTTCTTGTCTCTCTGCACTCAGCAGAGCGGGGTCTCCCAGTCTGCCCTGGCCCACAGGCCTGCAGATAAGGCAGTATCCGTTTTAACTTGCTGGATGACCTCTCACCGTTGCTTATGGCAATGGCAGTGGTTCACAGAAGCAGCCCCATGGTGCCCCCTTCAAGTGGCACCCAGGGCACGGGACAGACCTGCCACACCTTAGATAAGCCTCTGGCCATGATGTGTGCCCTGGCGTGTGCACCACAGCTGCTGTGGCTTGGGCTTGGATTTTGCAGAAATGAGGGGCCCAGGGAGCCTGGGAGAGTTAGTTTCCTTCTCCATCTCCCCTCTGCCTCCTCTCCCGGTTCCAGCCACTGGATGGCGCCAGAGCCTGCGATCTGGTGTCGATGTGGGGGCTTCACTTCGCTCGTGGGGAAATGGAATGCCAAGATAACGGAATCTCCCTCTCAGACTTTCTGAAGTCCCCGCATATTACTGAGAGGCAGCACAGTTCAAGTCCAGAGTAGCCTAGCGGCAGTGTGGCCTCAAGCTCCTGTTCAGGGTGTGGCTTGTGGAGGCTGACCACTGGTCCCAGCCAGCTCCTTGACTTAGCAGCTGGGGAACCTTGGGTTAGTTGTTCCGACTCTCCGTGTGTCCGTTTCCCACCTGTAAGACGAGGGCAGTAACAGGAGTACGTATCGCAGGGTGTCGCTGTTAGAGAAGGCGCCCTGCATAGTGGTTATGTGCTGTGCTGCTAACTCTGAGGTCAGCGGTTCGAGACCACCAGCCTGCCAGTCCGTGGGCGCAAAGACAGGGCTTTCTATTTCAGTAAAGAGGGCAGTTCTACTCTGTGTTGCCGGGTCATCGGGAGTCGCATGTTGAGTTTCTGTCACAGAGAGGAGCCCTGGAGGCACAGTGGGTGACGTGCTGGACTGCTGACCACAGGCCACTTGCCAGAAAACCGAGGCTTTCTGCCCTGTCAAGATCGACCGCCTCGGAAACCCACAGGGCTGCTCCACTCTGCCCCACAGGGCCGGCACGAGTCAGGATCGCGGGACGGCAGGGAGTGTGTGGGCCGTGGGCCTCGAGGGCCCCGTCCCCGTGCTTGACAAAGGAACCTCTTAGTTCAGTTTCCTATGATGATGATTGGTTCCAACTCTGCGGCTCATCTGCTGTGTGTTCCTGGTATGGGTTTTATCTTGGGGTCTCCCTCACCTCCCCATTCGGCAAGGGCAAGCTGAAGGGCTGGGCAGGGGAGGAGGGCGCCCGCCCTGGTCCCCCCATGTGCGGCTTTGGCCTGAGCCTGGGTTGTGCAAACAGCCGGGCCTGACCGGGCAGGACGATTCTCAGCCTCGTTGTGCGGTCTCTTGTGTCCTCTCCCTTCCCACGGTGGAGCCACCCGGGGCATTAGCTGACTCTCTGCAAGCTACAGGGGTGAAATTGGACCTGAGCTCTTCGGCTCTGATCGATTTGGTCTCAAATTGCTTGGGTGGACAGCCCTGCCTCCCACCTCCAGGGCATTGGCCTTTGTGGCTCGGCATAGATAGGGTCAGTCTCCTTCTGGGGGCGAAGGTGGGTCTCCCAGGTGGCCAGAGCCCGGTGGTTCTTGTAGCCACGCCCCACCCTTCCCCATGCGTTCTCAGTCCCCACCTCCCTCGGGATGCCTTCCCTGGTAGCCGGGGACCCAGTGTGCTCTCTGTCGCTCAGAGGTCACGAACTGGCAGGCCACATCTGAAACACAGGCAGAGTAGCCTTGGTCCACACCAATCATTGAGCTAATGGCCTTGCCAGTAGAAGATTTTACATAAAAATCTGACTTTCTGGTTTCTCTTCAAAAAGTGGGAGATTGGTACTCCCCATCCCCCTCCCAGCTTACGTTCCCAGAGGCCGCTGCTGATGTCCCATTGGCATGGAGCACGCATGCCTAACCACCTCCTTCAGAGAAAGGATCTTCTTGGCCCCAGTTTGCAGCCCTGCTGCATCCTCCAAGGGCTCTGCGTGCGTGGGAGGCGAGGGCCAGGGGTCCACACTTTACTGTGGCGCTCATGCCAGGGGGTGCAGCTGTGTACACAGCAGGGGCCTAACGAGCGCTCCCTGGGTGGGTGCAGGCATGGCTTTGGCACGTCCCTGCCTGCTGTGACAGTTCTGTTTCACAGGGGCTTCTGGGTAGGTCTGTCCTGTGGCCCTCGGCTGGTTCCTCCTTCCAGATAAGCTGCAGCTGCTTAGTCACGAACCCAGGGAGCTTCTTAAGCTGCACCTAAACAGTCCCTGAAAGGCTGCCTCCGGCCCAAGATCCCCAAAGGATGGCACGGTTTCACCACCAACTCTCTCAGGTCGCCCCCCACCCCCTGGCTTGGCAGGGGGCCCAGCAGCTCAGAGGGCTGCCGGCAGAGCAGGGAGCTGCAGTCCTGGGCCTCCCCTCCTTTGGGCATTCTCTGCCTTAGTCACACAGTGTGCTGCTCTGTCAGCTTGTTTGTCCAGCTCTCTGTCCACGCTTCTCATTGACATCCTCGCCATCCCTCCGGGCCCATTGAGGTGTGTCTTCCGGGGGGAGAGCCTCCTGCTGAGAGCGGGTGAAGAGACTGAGGAAGCCAGCAACAAATGCAGACCTCCCGCACACCCGGACAGTCAGGTGTCGGTTGGGAGGGAGAGTCTCTGGGGGGGACTTGTGCTGAGCGACATCCTTATGCCCCCTTCTTCTCTGGGCTTCTCTTTCTCCCCAGGGACTCTTATCACACTGGGCTCTGCCAGGCTGCAGTGGCTCCGAGTGCCCCGGGAGCCACCATGGTTGGCAGGGAGGGGAGGATTCCCAGGCCTGGCCCGGCCTGG